TTACTCGAAAAGCCATAGTGAGATGAATAGTATAGAATGATTTTAAGAGACAGATGAGAAACAGCAGGAAAGAAAATAATATATCAAACGGCTTATAGACAGACATAGCGAGAGACAGAGAAAGAAAGGGGGTAAAGGGGATGGGGCTCGGTATAAAAATGTCAGAGGTAAAAATAACAGAGGAAAAAATGTCAGAGGTAAAAATGTCAGAGGTAAAAATGTCAGAGTTAAAAATGTCAGAGTTAAAAATGTCAGAGGTAAAAATGTCATAATTGTATTGAATGGTGATGATAACCTCTGAATTCTGGTTTCGAATAGCCATTAGGTGTACTTTAATGAAGATTAATGTGGTTAGAGGAACATAAGGATTGTCAAATGCACTTTCAACTTCTAGTTCCTGATACGATATTCCTCATGGAATAACGCCAAGATCAATATCTCTCTCATCTGTTATAAAAAGTTATTAATTTTCTTGCGGTTATTGTGATAGATTGTTATTTTCAAAGAGGAACTCTAGTATGTTTTCACTTGGCCTGTTGGAACATGCTGTACATCCGCTTTGCTCGATCCCATGAAATCTCTACAGGAAAAAACGAATAATGTCCTATCATGTTTTTATTTATTTGATCCGTATTTGTAAAGAATTTAACTAAGAAATGTGACGTTCACTTGCATAATACATTATAGCTAACATCAAAACAATATAGGCTACGTGAGATGAATAGTCAAGAGTAGAATGATTTTAAGAGACAGATGAGAAACGGAAGGAAAGAAATATATCAAATGGCTTAGATCGAAAAGATAGAGAGAGGGGGGAAGGGGAGAGACAGACAGACAGACGCGCAGGGAGAGTACAATCATAGACTATCAAGTATATAGAATTATATCTAAAAACAACATTGCACGCATTTAACTTGAGGATTATAACATGACGTATAAACAAATTTATAAGTTGACAATATAACAGCTGAAGTTAGGAAAAGTATTTCAAAGTCTTGTTTCTATTTATTATGGTTATTTATTCACTTATTTATTTATTTGGAAAGGGTATCCCAAACAAGGGTGTCGATTTGTATCCGTGGTTGCGGGGATGATAGGTGCCACAATATTGTCGGCAATGGGTCAAAGCAACCAAGAGGTAGAAGCGTGTGGCAGGTTGCACCCCCTCCCCAAGCGCGTAGCCAGGATTTCATTTTAGGAGGCGGTAGTGAGCACGTAAAACGTGCGAATCACTAACAGCTACTTGCAGACCTAGGGGGTTGGGTGCAGGGAGGGGAGAGTTCCCCCCCCCCTTCCCCCGCGAAGCGCGGAAGCTTTGACGTTTCATTAAATTATTAGAGAAAGAAGACGATTCGTTGGACCGTTCTCGACTCTTAATCCTTGTTTGAATCAAGTTCCCCTTTCTCCGCGCGTAGCACGGAAGCTCTGACGTTCCATTAGATTACTAAAGAAAGAAGACAATTCGATGTACCATCCTCGACTCTTAATCCTTAAAGTTTGAATCAAGTTCCCCCTCCTCTACGCGTAGCGCGGAAGCTCTGACGTTTCATTAGATTATTAAAGAAAGAAGACGATTCGATGTACCATTCTCGACTCTTAATCCTTGTCTAAATTCAGTTTCCCCCCATTCCGCGCGAAGCGCGGAACCTTTGACGTTTCAATAAATTATTACTCTTAGTCCTCATCTGTATTCCTTTTCGCCCATCCAGCGCTAAGCGCGGAAGCTTTACCGTTTCATTAAATTATTAGAGAAGGAAGACGATTCGTTGTATCGTGTCCTTGTCTGAATTCAGTTTCCCCCCCCTCCCGCGCGAAGCGCGGAAGCTTTGGCGTTACATTTAATTGATTCTTAATACACGTCTGAAATCATTTTCGCCCATCCCGCGCGTAGCGCGGAAGCTTTCACGTTTCATTAAATTATTAGGAAAAGAAGAGGGTTCGTTGTGACGTTTCATTTAATTATAACTCTTAATCCTAGTCTGAATTCGGTTGCCCCCCCCTCCCACGCTTAAGCTTTGCCGTTTCACTAAATAATTAGAGAAAGGAATTCAGTTTCCCCACATGATGTACGTATGGAACGTTCGTTCGCAAATCTTTGCATGCACAGCCCGAGTGGTGGGTAGCATGTTATCTCCCGGCAGTGCTCGTCGCAATAGCTTGTGGAAAGGAATTGTATATTACTATTTATAAATCACTTGTATGAAATTGAAAATAAGTCATGGTTGGATTTTATGGGGGGGGGGGGCTAGCGCCCCAAGCCCCTCCCCACCAGTACGCCAGTGACGTAGGCCTACATCGGATTTTCAATGAAACAAAAATAAGTTGTGACATAATAATCTTTCTCCAAACATGAAAAATGTTTTAGGAAATATCAGGAAATAAAATGAGTGAAAAAAAACACAAATAAAGATACAATGACGTGAATTTTAAAAAGGGTGAACGGAAACAACATTACAACTAGTGAACTATCTTATAAGTCACACTAATGTCCGAAAATCTTTCTCCTTGTCTCCGATCTCATCACGAATTCGTCACAGAGTTCACCTACGTTTACACTGTCCAGGATTATCTGATGTGCATTGCAGATTGTTACTTTTGCGCTTCGCGCTTAACATTTAGCTCGTTGCTTTTTAACGCTGCGTCTTTGCATATGGCGCACTGCATTTCAATGATGCTGTTGATTGAACAAATTGAATAAATTCATTAATTCCTGATGAAGCCGTATGCATGAGAATTCAATTTATTCATGTCTCATATACGGTTGTCTCCTTTACTTCGTATATATGTATGTATTATGAAAATGATATAGCAAAATGTGAATATTGATGGTCATCTTGCGAGTAATAACCATTAACTTTTTCTCTTATTTTTAATTTTTTTTTTAGGGTGAATTATTGGGGGGGGGGGGGTGATTGTACAGGCCACCCCCCCCCCCCCCCCCCCCCCTCCACCTGAAATATTGGGGGGATATATCCCCCATCCCCCCGGGATCGACACCCATGCACAAAAGCAAGGCTGAGGGAGACAGGGTACTTTAAGAATTGGTCAACAACTGCACCCATCATAGCTATTATCTAGGAAATTGGTAATTAGAAGTTAGTACATATCACCCTCACGTGAGCAAGCTGTGGAGGACTTGAAGAGTTGAGCTTGGTTACAGGAAAAAATACAGAAACGGAGAGGAAGTCAGGAGTAGAGAGAGATAGACAAAGAATAGAGAAAGAGTGCGTGTGAGATCAAGAGAGAGTGAGAGAGAAGTTGGAGGGCGAACGAAATAGAGAAGGGGGTGATAAAGAGAGAGAGAGAGAGAGAGAAAGAGAGAGAAAGAAGGGGAGGGAGGGAAGAAGAAAGGGGATAATAAAAGAGAAAGATAGAGAGGGGCATGAAATTCTTAACAGAAATATATCAAGACGAGACATAAATAGTGAAAAATATATATGTATTTAGAAAGAAATCGGAGAAATCTTTCAACTATAATACAGGGAAATTATTAAGAGTGACAGAGAGAGAATAGGAGGGGTATTTGTATACACGTGTATGGAATGAAAAGAGCAAATTAAAGTAAATATTGGTAAGAAAGATACAGGGAGAACGTTTAAGTGAAGAGAAAAGGAGAAACGGAGGGACGAAGAATTTGGAAAGAAAATACAGAGAAAGAAAAGAAAAGAGGAAAGTAAAAAAAAAAAAAAAAAAAGAGAACGAAAGTGAGGGAGAGGGAGAAAATATAGGAGAAAACAACGTAAACGGAGAGCGTATAGATAGATACATCAACAGTTCAAACTTCTGATGCTTATCAAATGCATTACAGTTGGTTGATTTTGATTGCAAACTGCGTGTTACCACTTTGACCAAATTATGGGCTTGATTGGATTGTTTAGGGCGGGTCCGACTCGTAAGGTAGGCCAACCAGAGACATCTGTGCCAGCTAAGGACTATACTTGTAGGTAGGGCCTAGTGCAGTGCCATCACTGAAGCATGCACGGGGTTATCTTTAGAGCATGTTTGTGTGGAAAATATAAGCCGATAGGAGTAATTCCCAACGGCAATTTGCAACCTATCCTCATGTTATTCTGAAATTGAGAATGTTACATATGTGCGGTGATAACGAGGCGGTATTTAGGAGGAATTACGCTCGAGTCGCATGCTACTTAGCACTATGATTCATACCCGGCTCAGTGTTAGGGAGCTTATGCGTCACCAAGAAGGGGTCACACAGGGGCTCGGATGGATGACGGGAGGGGGCGGGAGTGAGGGGGAGGGGTACACCGCAATTTCTGTCAGCAAATTGATGGTTGTTGGCATTCTTTATCGTCATCGGTGAAAATATTCAGGGTGATTCAGGGAGTCTTGAGGGCGAGATCTTCTAGCCCCTTGTTCTATCATATAAGATAGACAATCGATGCTGTGATAAATGTCAATTAATATTTATTAAGATAATTATGTCCGACACGAGGTGCTCTCTATCTCTCTCTTCTTCCTCCCTCTTCTCTCTCTCTCTCTCTCTCTCTCTTCCTCCCTCCACCTTCTCTCTCTCTCTCTCTTTCTCCCCCTTTTCTCTTTCTTTCTCCCCTTCTCTCTCTCTCTCTCTCTCTGTCTATCCTCTTCTCTCTCTGTGTCACCTTTTTCTCTTCTTGTTGTCCACTGCTCCATATACCATAAACAAGGTTCCCACAGGAATTTTAGGACCAAATTCCATGACTTTAAGTATCAGTTCGTCGGCATCCAAGTAGCATACAAATGCCACGCCCATTGTCAGTTCAGATTGGAAGGCTGCCATAGCCACACATGGCCCACAGTCCCACACCTACAGTGTGTACAACCAACTTCAATGACTTTTCATGACATTGGAAGATTTTTTTCTTCATTTTCCATGACTTTCTAGAGGAACGTATTTTTTCCATGACTTCCCTGGTTTTCCCATGACCGCTGGAACAATGCATACATGTTAAATGCACATAAATAACAGACAACTACGCAAACTAAAGCAATTGATACACAGATTCTGTAATTTTTACCATTTTATTACTGCACACCTAATAAACACCAAACAGTTATTAAATAACTTCATCATCCTCTCAGAGTATGGTTCAAATATTTCTTCATATATCTCTTCATTTGCGTACAAAGGGAAAATAGAATTGCCTTTACGATTGAAATGGTATATATCTTTTTGATGGATGTTACTGCGGTGATAATAGATAAACTGTCTCTATTCAAATAGATATATTAACTGTGCACGGGGGTGAAATACATTTACGACAATACAATGTAGATGGAGATCTGGCTGATTAACTTAAAGCTATCAATACCATGGAAGCTTAACTGTTCACAACAGATTTAAATCTTTTTCAAAAAGAGTACTATTATACATAGACTATCAGTGATTGCAAAACTATCATTGGTATTTCAAATATCACTCCCAGCTACTGTTCAATACTCGTTAACATAAAATATGATTTACCATAATATTTATATTTTTTTCCCATTATTTAGACCGGCTGAAAACAAGTTGCTTTTCATACGAGTTGGAGCCTGTAGTGTGCATTTGAGATGAAGATACAAGGAACGAGTAGATGCATTAGTTCGGAGCTCTGTACTGAGCACACTATTAATCTTACAGCATAATATTTATGTCCAATGCAATTCACTCAATTGGAGAACAAAAATTGGCATTACACCATTGATCAATGAAGCAACACTTTGTAAGCAACAAACAAAAATATAACAATTATAAATTGTGAGCCATGAGGGATTGTGTGTATCAGACCAGATAACTATTGTCGTGCCAGTCCACTTCTTTCAAATATTCCTTATTTGGAGGCAGTGTTTGGAAAGTTAAAAAAAATAATTCACAACACACAGCAAGTACTAACCCGTCAATTCGTTTTAGTTTCTAGGTTACTAATCATCGTACGAAATATAAAGCCTCTAGATTCAATTCCAGTTTGCACTTATGTGCAAAATGGCTTTCCTGTTAAAGGATAGTACAATTGTCATGGTAGACTGTTCTCATTTGGAAACGGAGAAGACTAAATTGTAGATCACTCATTTTTCAAATTTCAAGTGATACAATGAAAACTCACAGAATAATGATGGTGATGGTACACAATGACACAAATGTTATATCAAGGTAATGTATGGAGTGTTTTCTTGACCGTTTATTGCTCAAAGAGGGCACCATCCAAAATCATTGTTCAACATGTCACATCGCCTCACAGAAGCTAAGCTCAGTAAACGGCTGGCATAAAGTGGGTGTTAGAGGGAGACATTTTGAACATCTAGGGTACATAGGATATGACAGAGATGGCTAACATATATATATTGGTTAAAGATTTCAGTGCTTCAAGTTTAAGAGTATATCAATAACATGCAATGAACACCAACTATCATCCACGTCCTCTAAGAGCGCATTCTCAAACAGAGGAAAATATTCAAACCATCACAAATACCTGCATACCTTTCTTGGGAGGTTATCAAACTATGGGTATTCATACTTGTGTTACAAAGGGTATTAAAAAGCACGATAATCCAGTTCCATCGGCCAATGAGTTAGACATCTTTACTTGATGAGATTGATAGCATGGCGGAACTTCTTGCCAGCGAAGATTGCTTTGTTTCCTAGTTCTTCCTCGATCCTGCAGGCATACAAGAAAAATAATAATAATAATAATGAACATTATTTGTATAGCGCATATCCCTGACACAAAGAAAGTCCCTATGCGGTTAGAAAAGTAGGAAATAGAGATAGGGCAGAATAGAAATGAACATTTATGCCTGATACAAGAAAATAATTAGTTACAAACAACAATAATAATACAAGAATGCAATTAAATAAAGTGGAAACTACAGTTAAATTGGTCTTGGTGGCCACCTCTCTATAAAGACCACCTGTCTACAGTGGAAACATTTTCTGTTTCCCTTTGGTGGCCATTATAGACAGGTTTTACTGTGTATTTCATGAGATCATGATTGACACCAGCAACAAAACCTCGTTTCATGAGAGATAGACAATAAGGTGCTAAGATTGGACTCTTCAATTTAAATTTAGTAAAAGAAATGGGCATCCTAAAATTTGGGCATGATGAGTTACGAATTGAGAAGGCATATTAACAAGACCTTACTGATGTAAAATTTGTAAATCTAAAATGTAAAATTCTCTCATTACTATTAATATGAGACACCCAATTCCCATGGGCAATGAGCCTATCTACATTTACCACTATCCACCTAGGTGTAAAATTGTAAATGGGTACCTGATATTCTTGAGTGCTAGTAACTTTTGCCACCTTTCAATGACAGGGGTAATAATGTCATCAAGCCCTGAGGATCATGCTCAGCATGATGGATACAAGTGCTATGTGAGAAGCCATCATCATATCAAGTAGTTACCTGAGGATCTGGTTGTATTTAGCAAGCCTCTCTGATCTGCATGGAGCTCCAGTCTTGATCTGTCCAGTGCACAGACCAACCACCAAGTCAGCAATGAATGTGTCTTCGGTCTCACCGCTACGATGGCTTACCATCACACCCCATCCACTGCTCTGGGCAAGCTTACACCTAAACATGACAAGTGAGATTTCGACAAAGATCATTTTTTTGAAGGTGATTTATAACCTGTATTTTCATGAATGATAATTTGTTCTTCTTCTTTTTTTTTTTTAATATAGTGTTAGGCTCCTGATTGGTGTGTACAGATAAGAAAAAGTAAAGAACATCTGTATGTAAATAGACATTTCTGAATAAACACCTCAACAACTTCATTCGAAAATCCTCATCTTCCCAAACCCTCTTGCATAAGAATATATACTGTTATTTTGTCTCTTTTTTATCTTTGTATTAATCTTCTGTCACCAGTCAGCAAAAAGAACTATAATTATAACGTTATATTTTCATCTACATGCAAATCAGGAAAATACAATATGTTAGCAAATGTGTTTAACTTTCTCCATTGAACATACAGGGTTGTCAGGAAGGAGTCAGAGGCAACATTTTTGCTTTTAATCCTCCCAATGTAAATCGAACAAGCTCTCATATGACTCACTGACTCAGTGTGAGGGTGTGTAGGTGTCTGTGTGTGGAGGGGGGGGTACCCCTTTGGACCCCCTCCCCTGGCTGCACATACTACACTTTGTCTGAACCTTTGTAAGACAGGTAAATCTTGACTTACGCCTCAATGGACTCTGTGACAGACCCAATCTGGTTGACCTTGAGAAGCAGGCAGTTACAGGCCTTCACATCGACGGCCCGTTTGATACGCTTGGGGTTGGTTACAGTCAAATCATCACCGACAATCTGGATATCAGTAGAACCGCAGAACTTGGTCCAGGCTGCCCAGTCATCTTGGTCAAAGCAATCTTCAATCGACACAACTACAATCGGAAGCAGACAAGATTAAATCAATCAAGAAGGTTATAATGGAGCACTAACAAAAATAGTAAGCTTATTTTTAACAAGTGGAGTGTTCAATTATCTAAAGAATAAACATGTTTGAAATGTATCTACAATTTTACTATTTCTGTATCATATATTGCAAGATACTTTTTGGAGCTGTTCCGAGCTGCTACATATGCCACATGGCTAGAACAGAGGGAAACAAGCTGGTAAAGCTATGTCAGAAGACCTGGGCAACAATGAAACGCGCTGCAAGTCAGCGTAAACTTTTGAAATCCGACAAATACTTTGAAGTCACGCAAAAGATTACGGAATCCACTGAGCAAGACTACAACTGTTTCTATCATAGCTTTTGTCACAGGAAATTCACCGCCGTGAAACGATCAAAAGATAGCCAGCAAGCCGATTAAGAACAACTAGCTAAACGTCAATGTATCAAAACCAGACGCTACAGCATTATTCTCAAGTCGGATCAAGAAGGTTTGGTGAAAGGAACAAGCACATTTTGTGGCAAGGGCTGATAAAAAGAAGCATCGACGAGGAGAACCAAGGTTGAAGATTGCAACAGTTGGCGGCTGTGAGATAATATCTCATGAGTGGGTTAGATATTCAAACAACGAACGCATCAAAAGTGTCATTTGGAGCAGTGTTGATCTCATCGCAAAGGATGCAGAATATCATAAGTCTTGCCGTATTTCGTTCCTCAAAGAGACTGATGATCAATGTCCCTCTGAAGATGGTTTGCATGTTTTATCTCACAAGAAGGCCTTTGATTCTTCAATTTCTCACATCCATGATGAAGTGATTGAGAAGAAACATACTGTGTTGTTGAGTAGTTTACTTGGAATGTACAAAAAGGAAGTCATAGTTATTGCTGAGACAAATATTCATTCCTACACAGGCCAAAATTTGATGATAAAAATTAAAGATCATTTCAAAGACAACATCAAGACAGCCCTAGCAGACCAACGGAGAGGAAATTTTATCTACTGTTCCGTACTCTCTGAAGAAGAGGCAAGGGCCCGTCTAGATAAAGATTCCATAAGATACGAGGAGGACAGCAAATTGAGATGTGCTGCCCTTCATCTCTGATCTGAAATCTTGAAGGTTCCAAAGACAAATACACCTAAACCTGTCACAGTCCCAAACTGGAAGGAGTGCGCTGCACAGATACCAGGACAGTTAGCTTTGTTTTTTTAGAACTCTCCTTTGTGGTATGGGATCAAGTTGCAGGGCACAAAAAGAATCAGTTGAGCGACAGGTAAATGGCATGTCATCTGATGCGACATACAAAGTGACACAAGGTTCCACAAGACCTTGGAAAAACACAGTGCTTGGTCTAGGATTGGCATCACTGACTCCTAGGATCCAAGATAGCCCTGCAGGTTTGAACAGATCAGGACACTGTATAAGTTGTAGTGAAACCAAAGGAATTGAGAGTGAATTTGCCTTTTCCGTTGCAGATGACCAACATAAGCCGTTCAGCAGCGTTTCACCCGTTTTTATTTACAACCTGAACAACACATGATTATTTTATATTTATGATCTCACGATCTATCTTTTGCATCTATTTTCGTATATAATTATATATATATCTTATGTCGTTTATGTATATTGTGTAAAGTTAAGTATTATACCATCAACTAATGAGGAGAGCCTCCTACAGAAACTCAGTTTCTTTTGGTAATTGTCAGGCATTAGTTGATGACTTTTTCCTGGTATTGTATTTATTATTGTAATTTGTTTTCTTGTGTTCTTTGTTATACTCCTTTATGTTCCTGGAAATGAAATGAAATAAATGATGCTCCAGATGGCATTGCCCTTCTATAGGGATTGTTATCGTCAACCGATACCAATACCGATATGAACGTGATCGTGATCGGGAGTTGTAAAAATGGACAGTTGTCTGTGATATTCTTATCGTTGTTTCGGAGGCCGTTGTAGCCTGATTAAAGGTGTTTTAATGTCCAATTCCTGTCTGATCTCTGATCATACCAGTTTGTATCTAGTGAATCCCTACACTTCAACCAAACTTGGCAACAGCTAGCGCCTAGGACAACAACGATGCCAACGTGGAGACGCTGGATGGAAAGGAGACATTCCATGCAACTGTTGGTCACACATACCCGAACATGATAGAAGATGACCAGCATGTCAATATCAATGAACCAATATTTCGAGAGGGAAAGAACCAACGTATATTTGTTGGGAAGGATTGAGAGATACCAGACTTCAGGGTGTCCCTCAAGAAGGCCAAATTTGTCAGCACTGATGCGGCAGCAGGAAGCATGAGAGCAGTCTAATTGACATCCAAGTCGTGCTATGTCTCTGGTGGACACTCAAATTTCAGTGACAGAGTTGACAGCAGGCACTGGTGGATCACTATCCGCATATAAGGACCACCTCCTTTCTGGCTGCTACCAGTCTTAGCAATTTCCTTTGTATTATTCGTGTTTGTAAATTGATTCTGTGCATTTCTGTTTTATCTATGTTAGTAATTGTAATTGTGCGAAAATTTGTATGCTGCTTTTGTTTTACTCTGTATGTTTTTTATTGCTTGGCAAAATAAATTGAATTGAATTGAATTGAACAATCTACTGAGTCTCAGGACATCAGTGCATTGGAATTGGGATTACGATCTAGCCAAGCATCTAATGAAGATCTAAGCAAGGCGTCTCATTTGAAAGCAGCCTCTTCTCGAACCTCGAGATCAGTATCTGAAATGAGTCTCAGTATCAGTTGGCAGCAGACAAGATTGAAACAATCGAAAAGGTTATTATGGAGCACTAAACAGATACACAGGAAAACTAGATGGAACTTCGACTGCGCGCAGTCGAAAATGTGCCTCCGTCATAGAGCAATTTTACAAACCAAAACAGAAGAAATTTTTCGAATTCAAGTTCAATTGTAATCCATTAACAGGTTCTCAGAATATTGTGATTACGAGCTATTTTTGCATACATGAGCCAATGACCTTTGACCTTATGAACCAAGAATCTACTCAGTTCATTGGCTCTGCAAGAAACATACATGACCTAAGTTGGCAGGAATCCATCAATCGGTTCTTGAGATAACGCGATCACGAGCTGTTTTTGCATACATAATGTGCCCTGTGGCCTTTGACCTTTGATCTTGTGACCCCTACATCTAATCAGTTCATCGGCTCTGCAAGTAACATACATGACCTAAGTTTGGCAGCAATCTATCAATCGGTTCTTCAGATAACGCGATCACAAGCTCGTTTTGCATACATAATGAGCCCTGTGGCCTTTGACCTTTGACCTCGTGACCTCAAAATCTAATCAGTTTTTCGGCTTTGCAAGTAACATACATGACCAAAGTTTGGCAGCAATCCATCAATCGGTTCTTCAGATAACGCGATCACGAGCTCGTTTTGCATACATAATGAGCCCTGTGACCTTTGACCTTTGACCTCGTGACCCCAAAATCTAATCAGTTCATCGGCTCTACAAGATACATACATGACCAAAGTTTGGCAGGAATCCATCAATCGGTTCTTCAGATAACGCGATCATGAGCTCGTTTTGCATACATAATGAGCCCTGTGACCTTTGACCTTTGACCTCGTGACCCCAAAATCTAATCAGTTCATCGGCTCTACAAGATACATACATGATCAAAGTTTGGCAGGAATCCATCAACCAGTTCTTCAGATAACGCGATCACGAGCTCGTTTTGCATACATAATGAGCCCTGTGACCTTTGACCTTTGACCTCGTAACCCCAAAATCTAATCAGTTCATCGGCTCTACAAGATACATACATGACCAAAGTTTGGCAGGAATCCATCAACCAGTTCTTCAGATAACGCGATCACGAGAACGGGACGTACGTACGTACGTACGGACGTACGGACGGACGGACAACCCGAAAACATAATGCCTCCGGCTACTTCGTACCGGAGGCATAAAAATTTGCTCTGGAAAGGTCCAAAAGAGCTCTGTAAATATTGAGGGGAGTAAAAGCTCTAAATAAAATCAAGACGCCAGGTGTATGGACACTTTGACCAGCTATTGACCGACCTGCATAAGGAGGATGCAAAGGGCTACAAAAACTACTTGAGAATTCCACCTGACCTGTTTGAAGAGATGGTTGAAAACGTGACCCCTCATCTCAAGAAACATACCACATTTATGAGAAAACCACTAAAAGTTGGACTCAAATTGGCTGCTACCCTCTGACATTTAGCCACCGGAAATTCATATGCTAGCTTACAATACAGCTTTCGAGTTGACGAGAGCACAATCTCGAAGTTTGTACTGGAAGTATGCGCTGCAATAATTGAGGTCTACCCTAAGGGTGAGATGCTCAGTTGTCCAAAGACAGGAGATCAATGGAAGGCTGTGGCTCAGAAGTTCAGCAGCAGATGGAACTACCACAATTGCTTGGGAGCTGTTGATGGCAAGCACGTTCCAATTAAAAAGCCACCAAAATCTGGATCTTTGTTTTATAACTACAAAGGATTCCACAGCATTGTACTAATGACAGTTGCAGATGCAGGATAAAAGTATGTAGATGTTGGAGCAGAAGGTCGAGCATCCGACGGAGGAACTTGGAATCACTGCAATTTGCACGAGGCAGTAGATGAAGACAGAGCAGGTCTGCCTCAGCCAGAAACCATTCCCAACGATGACAAGCCCATCCCATACCACTTTGTTGGTGATGATGCCTTTGCTCTCAAACTGTGGCTGATGAAACCCTTTTCCCATCGGTCCCAAGAGCAACCAAGAAGGGGGTTGATATGTAATATGGGCACGGCTAGCCGAGTGTCTAAAGAAAAGACACTTACCAGTTGCAGGGGGGTCAAGTTGGGCTCCTGCTTGAGTCCATAGTCTTGTCTTAGCGGCTGTATTCAACCACTCCTTTTGCTTGTTGTCATATAGTTGTGGTTTCTCTTTGATGTAGTCAGCTACAATCTGTCTAGCCTCATCTGTCCAGTTGAAGACTGAGATATTCTTTGTTGACCCACTATATCTCTTCTTGCCATTGTTTTGCGCCTTACAGGGACTGCGCTGTGGTTTAGTGTGATCCCCAACAATCTGCTGCTTTACAACTTCAGGCATTTCAGCCTCAGAAGAGGAAGAGCTACTAGTAATTGATGCCATGCTGGATTCCATGATGAAACGTGATTTGTGACAACCTTTCTTGAACATGTATTGCGCATGCGTAGACCATGCGCAAGTAATGTGAAAACTGTGCGGGAAGTATACGCAGCCGATGCGGGAAGTATGCGCAGCCGTCGTGAACTGGTCGTAAACATGCGTGCCACTCGGGCATTCGCACGCACCGGTCAGTACCGACACTGGTAGGATATGCTTAGTTCGCGAAGTGTTCACGAAAGTTATCCACCAAATTAATCGTGCCAAAATTTTGAATATTTTGAAAATTCTGCCACGCATTTCAAGCCTTGTCCTGCTTTGGCCCTCATCCTACGCATTTTCTGCAAACGCTTCCCGTTTTGCAAGAACGTGGCATGAAACAAAATGCCCGATTGGCCCCGAGTGCCACGTGAAAGACACAGTCTCGTCATGCTACAGCCCCTTTAAAAGCTGCGTTTCTTAAAGCATACCACACAGCATATTTTAGTATAAGACCATATGACGAACAGGTCAGTGACTACTTGTAGGACCTTTCTTGTGTGCAGCTACTTTTTCATCCCCAAATGCCATTGATTTAGTGCAAATAACAACCCCCAAAACGCCTCAGTTTACTACAACAATGTGTTCATTTTTCAAAAGGTGTGATTCTAATTACGACTACATACCTGGATAATCTTTGATGAAACCCATGTAGATATCACCAAGTTGGTCAGAGGTGATCTGTAAATGGGTGAAAAAACTAATAATAATACAGAAGAAAACCATGTGACCCCACTTCATTAACCACTCTTGTTTTGTATACATGTACCCTTTCTGAATTTTGTCTTTGGTAATAAAGAAATAAATAAAGACAAAGAAAAGGAAGAAGGAGGAGAGGAAGAAGAAGGAGGAGAAGAAGATGAAGGAGAAGGAGAAAATTAAAATATATATATAACCCTAAACTTTTGATGAAACAAAGCCTCTGGCAATTGTCACAAGAACAAATATCAGATCATCACTTGTGATATAGGATGTGATGGAAGAAAAAACACCCCATTTATGCATCAAACATTTACAATTATTATGGCTATAATCAAAGTTCTTACATGGTCGTTGGGGTTGGTCTTGGGGTTCTTGAAATCCAGGTCATATTTGCCATCTCTGTGGAACTCTGAAGCGGCTACATCCATCCCAATCTCAATCTTACCAGAGTATCCAGCCTTCTCAATAGCTTCCATGATCAGGTTCAATGCTGTATATGATTCAAGTAGAGAAAAGAAACATTGTCATTTGGTCCAACATCCATTAGTCCCATTCCCAATGCATGAACAGATACAAAGCATTTGCTATTTGGTCCAATGCAATGGAGTCAGTCCCCAATGCATAGATAATGCACATGTACAAAAGGTAAATTGCCAATTGGTCCAATAATGAGAATAATAATATGGGATATCTATAGCATTTATATCCATCCCATAAGGTGCTCAAGAAACGATAATATTATTATGCTCCGCAAAACATATGCGCAGATCATACACAGAAAATCTCCATTTGGTCCACTGATATTTGTCCAATCCCCAAAGCATAGATAATGCACATGTAGATATAATAAGGGAAACTGTCATTTGGTCCAATGTCAATTGTCCCAATCCCCAATGCATAAACAGATCATATACATATAGGGAGAGATAAAGTGTTATTTTTTATGTTTAATCACTGAAAATGAATGAAACCATCCATACTACCGGGTAGATTGAGAAAAAATATAAAACTGAATAACAAGCTACAAAGGCTGCCTAGACTTATTAAAATACAAAATCATGAAAATAAAAGGAAATGTTTTGGTGATTGTCTCTATACTTTCCATGTCAAAACAATCCATGTTCATACAGAGCATAATACATTCAAAGCATGTTCAATGGTTAGGAATGTCCTCCAGATAATTCCCTCTGAAATTATGTCAATGACAGTAATAAAAGTAAGGAGAATTCTTTGAAAACAAATTTTTACCTTCTTGGTTGTCCAAGATGTTGGGAGCAAATCCACCTTCATCTCCTACATTGGTAGCTGCAAAAAAAGAAGATAATATACATCTCTTGATTACGTAATGAGCAAAAGGTAAATAACATCATGAATTTGATAGTACCCAAAGATGATGGGTTCGAATCCAACCCAGGCGGATGACCAAAGCCTGTGTCATGTGTTAGCGTTCCCCTCCAGTTGCAAAGAGGCAGGCTTTGTTACAGTGGAAAATACCCTGTACCTCGGATAGGATGTAAAATGGAGGCCTTAAAAGGACACTACTCTAAAAGAAAGCTGAAAATCAGACAAGCAGACTGCTAAATGGATAAGGATTGGGTGAGGTTTAGGATCGCAATAAAGTACAGTACAACCTGCTTTAGTGACCACCATTTCTCATTGAAACATGTACTAAAGGAACCTGTCTACAAAGACCACTTTTTGAGTTTCCCTTGGGCAGTCGCTATAGACAGGTTTGACTGTAGTTCAGTAAAATCAAATCAAACCATTCAAAATCTGCTATTTGACAAAGAGGGGAATTGGGTTATGTTAATTGACTTTCAATGAATATATCATCTTACCATCCTGCCCATACTTCTTCTTGATGACAGACTTGAGGTTCTGGTAGATCTCAGCTCCCATGCGCATCGCTTCCTTGAACGAGCTAGCTCCTACATAGAGGAAACAGACAAATCACTTTTATTTATTATTTATTGATCAAGCAAAAGCTCTTACATAATGATAGACATGTTTAAAGCTTATGTACAGGTTCAGTAGCAAAATATAAGTTGGAAAGAAACATGTTAAATATAGTCTCATGTTATTCTCCTGGTATCAGAAGAAATATATACGAGAGCGTTGGGTAATCTATCCATGATTTCCTGTGATTTGTAGTGTAAATATCTGCTAGAAATGGTAGATAATGGCTCTACACTAGGATCCTTCCATCCCGATGGCTCTGAGACATCAATGTCAGCGCTGTGCTTGGAGACAGCCTGTGTGTAGACTGGTAGCTTTAACATGTTTAGTCCAGGTTGCCGTTGTTACAATTTACTTTCCGTGATCGAATCCAAAACTTTTTTCTACCTCAAAGTTATTACTTTTTTATTGGAGCAAAAAACTTCACATCAGCCTTGTATGGCTAGTATCTTCCTCTATGTCATCTAAAATAAAATAAATTTGATGAAAGTATCAAGGGCTTAACAAAAATGTACATGACCTTTATATCTCTAAGAATTCCTCATTTCTGAACACTGATATTTATACAATTTTCAGTGTGATTGACTGACTAGGATTCATGTGAACACCAGGGGGCCGTTTGCTTTGAAACCGTCAGAAGTCTAACTTCTTGGACATCCCATTATAATGTGTGTTTAAAAATTAACATGCGTTTTTACAGGATGTCCAAGAACTTAGACTTATGACTCTTTCGAGAAACTGGTTCCTGCCTGTTTACTCACCTGTAGGAAGCAGCATGAATTCCTGCATAGCAAGCTTGTTACCAGCATGGCTACCTCCATTGATCACATTAAAAGCCTGTAGGATAGATGAACAGATGATGGATGATGCAATATGATCCTGCTTTCTAATATCATATAACAATGCATGCATTGCAACCAAAAAATTACTTTTTTTTTTACGAGGGCTCTTTTCAGATTTTCCCTTAAAAAAATAGCCCCCCTTAATTATTTTGCGGTGGCTATTTTGGAGCTCAGGGGGGCTTTTTTTTTTAAAGGTTGTATTTTTTTTAAACACGGTTTTACCTAATTAAATTCCAAGCAAAGGCAAATATAGATACAATTGTAGTGTACATATGTCATGTAGAGTATTGCAGACATTCAGATACCCATGATTTATTCACTTTGTGTTAAACGTGTGGCTTTATGATTTACATATACATGTACCGGTAACTAAAACTTGTCAAAAGGAGTGTTTTGTTTAACTGTTCGTTTTTCATATCCTAAGAAAATATTATCACTGACACGCGGGCTAGGAATTAATTTTTTTATGGGGGCTACTTTTCCCCATTGCCTAAAAAAAACCAAGGGGCTACTTCCTTAAAGCCATATTAGTCCGGCAGCCATCTCGATATACCTTGTTTTAGGGTCTATAGTTTTTTTTTCTTCGGATTATAGTTCCTTAGACCATCAATTTGAAGAATTCGATTGCTGACACTCTGTCAGCATTGAGCAATTTGAGATATGTGACGTCATAAAAAATGGCCGCCAAAATCCCCTTTTTAACCAAAATTAATGATATAAAAAGTTTTAACAGCATTTTACTACATTAAATGGCAGTCAAATATCTTAATTTTTTCTAGAATCATCACTAAATAAAAATTGCGATGCTGTATGATCACAAATGATATGCAAATTTGCATAATTCGGAATGGCGCCCTCTATAGACACATCAACTTGAATAGTTCAAAATGATGGCCAAATACCAATTTCTAACATGAGATTATCATATGTCATGAGTCAGATGCACTGGATACAGTGAGTAAAAATTGTGCTGCACATTTATTTTTATTTTGTAATTTTATACTCGAAGAAAACATGGTTGAATTTTATGCTCTCTGTCCCATAGATATGAGGTGGCATATGGTGATAAATGCCCATTTTCAGTGACAGCGTTAAGAAACTAGATTTGTATTCTAAGGTACTAGATTCTTTTAAATTAACCTACAAATTACGAACTACCGATACGATACAGGACTATATCCGTTTATAAGTTTGCTTCAAAATCTTGAAATTTGTTTAAAAGCCCTCTAAAGTGTTGGGAGCCCTAAAATATTCCATGCGGAAGAGGGTGTCATTTGACACTTAATTCTGCAAAGTGAGGTCGTGACTGTAATGCGTGCTTCCACACGCATGTTTGCAAATGAGCTCTCTTTTAATAACATTTTCTACAAACGCTTGAGGTAGTTTGAGGTAGTGAGGCAAGGTTTGGGGGTATTTGGAGCTCCTAGTCTTCGGACCCTTGATAGCCACACGTTGATACGAGCCTCTGACATTCAGTTGGTTCTTGACTGTCCATAACATGAAGCAAAGCATTGAGTAGGTTGAGTGATGACATATGACCATGCTGCATCAACATTGCCAACTGAGTCCTAAGGGAGTCGAATCTTCTGCTTCATCACTTTCAGCATTGTACCCTATCCAATGCCAAAGTATGCCCCAAGAGTGTCGCATCCCGTCAACGCATGTCCTGCCAACATCGATGGAATGATATCTCCTAACTTGTCTACATTAGCAGGAACATCAATAACAGTTCAATTTGTGAAGGGGCGTCTCCATGGTCATTGGCGTTTTATAAGTCCGTCATGTAGATAATAATCGATGCAAAAGTAGTACGTAGACGTCTGTGTCATCCACTAGGACCCTAACATACATCTTCTCATTAGCATCAATTCAAATCGCTTGCTGTACTTCGATGTTGCCTGCTTCATCATAACTATGTTGTGGACAGACCTTTCCTTGCCATGACATCACTGCCTGGAATCACTTCAACAGGAACCTCATCTTGACGGTAAAGGCCTGCTTGTGCTTTTGCCTATTTCTGAGCACCCAATCATCCTGCAGACTCGCGCATATAATTACGATGTCGATCAACTGTAGTTTGTTGTCATGAAAAGATAGTGAAGTTAGCAACACTAGAGACACGTTTCAACAACTTCTCTCCCTGTCTTTATTGATCTTTCCAAAGCTTTTGACTGCGTACAACATAAACGCCTATGGAAGATTATGAGCTGGATGGGCTTTCCAGCATATATAATTCAACTCATCCAGTCGCTCTACCAATACCTAGAAGCAACAGTAAGAACAGAGAATGGCTACACCGAAAGGTTCACTATTGGTCAAGTTGTCCGTCAAGGCTGCATCCTATCACTATCTATGCTGTATTCATTATGAGAAAGGCATTTTATGGTCAAGTTTCTGTTGGTGGACGAACGATCACCAACCTAAGATACGCCGACGATACAACACTCTCTGGCGTATTGATGGGGAAGGGTTGGGGGGGGGGGGGGGTTGGGGACAGTTAAACCCCCAAAAAAAATTCAAACTGTTTTTTCTATATATTCGATACCAGTGATTTACAAATGTTGCTGAAATGACATGATTTTCCTGGGTTTTTTCTCACTTTTTAGTAAATTATTATTTGTTAAGCGTATGTTGGAAAATGACAAATCCTAAATTCACAGTCAAGCAAAAAATATGCTTATTTAAAAGCCTACATGTCAGGGTCCGCAGAACAGCGGGGCTCAGGGGACTCGAGCCCCCTCACTTTTTGTATAAAGTATGTTGAAGAGAACTAGAAAGAAAGAAAGAAAGTGACCCGAGGTGAAATGAGGTATCAAAATATGTTCATCTTACAGTTAATAAATGCCTGAAACCCTTGAGCTTCCAGGGGCTGTGCCCCTTGAACACCACGCCAATTTGCGCTCCTCTCTTCCTGATCGTAAATACTTCACCCCCCCCCCCCCACCCCGATTTTAAAAAAGTTCTGCGGGGCCTGCATGTAACATGTATGAGTGGTGGTGATGCAGATTGTTTTTCTGCCCCTCTAAATGTTTTTGCTCAGTATGCCACTGACAACACTTATAACAAGAACATCAGAAGAACTACTAGAACTCTTTAAAAAAGAGTGAAGGATGCAAGTGAATAATTTGGACCCTACCTCAATGGGAAAAAGACCTAGATCATGATTGGTGGAAATTAACTACATGCAACAGAGCATGGTGGTTGATGGAGAAGAAGTTGATCAAGTGGACAAGTTTATATAATGTTCTTGGGTCAATGATTGTCAAGGAGGGTGGAAGCTCGGCAATATCTGCCTTTGAAATGTGGTGTTGGAGGAAGCTACTTGGGATATCATGAAGAGATTACAACACCAATGGACACAATTAATGTCCATCATCGGAGATCAACCGCCACTTGCTACCAGGATTGACGGTACAAGCTACAATAGTTTGGTCACATTAGCAGAAGATCAGGAGACAACCTTGACAAATTATCATTCAAGGTACCTTTGAAGGAACACGTAACAAAGGAAGACTCAAGCTCAGATGGACTGACGACCTTCGGGAAATCACTAGCCACCCTCTAAATACTAAAGACACTCTACCGGATTGCAGGAGACAGATGCCGATCAAAAGGTCTCATCAAACGGGTCACAATGGTGAGCCATGATCTATATGACAACGACGACGACGAATAGTAAGAGATAGTTTCTTGGAGGGCAGCAGTGACGCGGGACTCAGTTGGAAGACTCTCGACCTGTTATGACCTCTAGATACTCTCGGATCTGTCAAACACCAAGCAAAAATCATCAGATTTTCATCCACAGCAGAGCACAAACATCAATGACTGTACAAGGTTGTTCCAGTGTCTCATGCCTGGCTGACATCTCAACTTTTGTCAAATTCTATAAGTCCGTCTTTGACATGGGAGTGCTCGTTTCCAGAATCATCAAAAAGTGCTGTTGGGACTGGTGAAAGCTCTTATGACAAAATGTCCTTGATATTGACCTCTCTTGAACTTGTCTGCAGTCCTATTACTCTGGAGTAGATCAACTTTTCATAGATTTTCGTATCCCAACATTGACTTCTTCATGGCAGCCATGGTTTGAACTTTCTTGGAAATTGTGTCATAGAATCCACCAGGTAATATCTTTTGAAATTCATGCATCTGTCTAGTATAGATGTCAACTGCTTTATCCACATTCACTGACGTTGGAGCAATGCTGGTCTAAATAAAGCCTATCAATTGAATAATAATGTGTGCCGTAAAACCACTTCTCACCGATTTGATGAAAAATGAATTCTTTCATAGCCATTTTTTTTTCTTGACATATGTAGGGTAGGTGTAGGGAATTGGAGACCACCAAGCTTGAACCCATCACTGTCTGTCCGTGTTGGCTCCAATATTGATATAGCGACATATGTGGCCTTAAACAACACTTCTGCATATATCCGATTCATTTCGAAGACTACAATGCGTTCTCTCTCCGAGAAAATTGGCAAAATTGACCAAGATATTAGCAATTTTGATCGTAAAAATTTGCTCTGATATAAAAACACAATTTTCACTGAATGTTGTGGTGTATGCAGATATTTAGGGGTGGCTCATAAAAATTAGTTTTAAAAGGAAGTTTATGAAATGTGCCAACCATCACAGTAAGCTTATGGCCATTGTATGTTGTGAATGGGTGTTGCAATTCACATTATGAATGGTGTCTGATCAGAAATGTGTGTAGGTAATTGGGGACACCAGGTCCAAGATGGGGGCCTACTTCTCCCCAGTTGTCCATTTCATGTTGAAAGGCACTATCATGAAACATATTTGGTCGTACGTGTCACCATTCTAATTTGAATGCATTCAATTTTAAGAAGTTTTTTCTATGCTGTGAGTTTGATCAATGTAAAAGTCATATTGCCAGAACATTATTCTGAAAGTATTTTAACATAATTGAGAACACCTTTATTACTGTAAACAAAAACTACAGAAATATTTTGGGCCACATTGTTTTAAAATCGTTTCAAAATTTAAGTAAGTTCATTGGCTCCATATATCTCTTTCAAAAAATGTTTGAACTAACTATAACAATCCCATTTTCATTCAAATTGTATTTAAAATGTCTTGATTTGTAACTGTCCCTTATTACCTACACATGTAGGTAATGAGAGACCTTTGGTGATGACGTCATTAATCATTGTTATCTTATTAATCAGTTACATCATGACCACAATTTCGTTACAAAATAAAGAGAAAAAATACTAAAGAGAATACAAAAATGTCTGTATGTGTAACATTGTTCATGTTTATGTAAATTATGCAAATGTGCTTAAGGGTCTTCCATTCCCCACACCTACCCTATCTAAATTTGTACCAAACACGATGAAAGATTATGCAGCACAACTGCAATTGTTGCCCCCAAAAAGCATTTAATATGATTTCAACGTGACATAGATTTAAGAAATTGGCATTTGGCTGGCACATATATTTTATTCAAATTAATATGTTTATAGAGGGCGCTATTTCAAAATATGCAAATAAGCTGGTCATCTATGGCCATGCAACATCACAAAACATTTTGTTAGTGATGGTCCTAGAGAGATACAGACATTTGGCTGCCAAAAATTGTAGAAAAAATCCTTATTATATATTTATTATTCATTTTTAAAGGAAAATCATGTACTTTGGCGGCCATTTTGTATGACGTCATATATCTTAAATTGCTCAAGGCTGACAGAGTGTCAGCAATCGGATTCTTGAAATAGAAGGTCTAGGCAATCAAAATCCATTGAAAAAAAAACTATAGACCCTAAAACAAGGTTAGGCCAATAATCTGCATTTGGCTGCCGGACTATATTGCAAGCTGTAACAATAAGTTTTTCCTTAGCCATCATACTACTAGCAACCAAATTGGTAGGTAATATGTTATTTAGTCTTTTTTTCTGTCCCAAATTTAATTGTTATCATGGACAATGCAATCCCATTAAAAAAAAATGTAGACCAACTCCCTTTAAAATTGTGTTATTTAGACCATTTATAACCATTAAATGTGAGTAAATATTTTTACTGTTGTCCCACATACCGATGTAGGGTCTATTTGTTATGCCGAAACATGCAAAATCATGGCCTTATTTTTTTTTTATAGACTCTAATTCTAAAGGCCAAGCCAAAGCTAGTTTCATTTCGTAGACAGAAATTGATGTCATCATCACTCATGACAATTGGCCTGGCATCGATCGTATATAAATAATTTTATTTAATTAAACAGTTGTAAGAAAAATTCTGAGGAGTAGGAACATCCTTTATATATTTATTTACGGTTTTTTTTTATAACAAAATTCAATTTCTGTGTACGAAACTTGCTTTATACCGATTTTACAGGAAAAAATCCGGCATTGATTTTGCACGTTTCGTTATTAAAAATATATCAGTATGTGGGACAACAGTAAAAATATACTCGCATTTAATGGTTTTAACTTATAAATAACACAATTTTAGACGAAATAACACAATTTTAGACAGAATAACAATTTTTTTAATGGGATTGCATTGTCCATGATAAAAATTAGGGCCAGAAAAAAGACTAAATAAACATATTACGTACCAATTTGGTCGCTAGCAGTTCAACTCTCGTCACTCGCAAATACTTATTTGCTTCATACTAGGAGCGTGTGGGCGCGCGCTGGAGCTGAGCTAGTACGTTTCTGTGTATTGTGAAAGTGTGCGAACTGCGTATGCATTGATCATGCTGTGCACGAAACTACATCGGAGCCGGTGGCCTGTCCGGCCGCCGGGAGCTTAGGCGCAGGCAGGCGGATACCGCTGTAGATCTAGCTACAGTAGGTACGACCGCCGATCCGCTGCAACTCACAAAACTTTTAAAATGTTGATGGAAGTTTCTAGTTTTGGAGTTGGTAGTTGGAACGGAGATTTCACTCAGACACATCAATAAATTGGTTTATTAATTCATAGGGAATATTAATTTATGGCGGGGGCGATTTTTCAAGATATATTGATTTTTTTTCGCCCTCGTCTTGATTTTTACCGTGGCGATTTCAGAGGTTTAGGGGGCGAATCGCCCGTCGCCACCGTGTATTTTTTTCGTTGATGCATTGGTATCTCATACATGCACATTTTGTCTCCTGTGCAGTGTCTTACAAAGACTTGCGATTAAAGGGGAAGTCCACCCTGATATTGAGTTTGAGTACAAGCAGAAAATTAAGAGGAACTGGTCAGTGAAAGTTTGAGACAATTCTGACTTTTTGAAGTTCATTCAGTCAAACACTAATGGGCAACACTGTGATGTATCTTGCGAGCTCCCCTCCCATTGTGCTATGTATTACAAAAAATCTGAAATTTCTATTTTTTCCTCCAAAAGATTTTCAATCCTACATGCATGCATCTTAGATTTAATTATTGCAAATATGTTTCTACACGACCCCTGTATGGGAAAAAAAAAACTATTCTCTCATCAATTACAAAGAAAATGAAAGATTATGAAATCTCATGTACAGAGCAAATTGGTTCTTTTGCTACTCAGATATTTTTATGTATCACTAATTATCAAAAACAAAAGTAACTAAAAACATTCCTAACATATGTTACATAAAAAATTGTGGGGCGCACACACAGTGTGGACGTGTACACTTATGCATATTGTTAGAATTATGAAATTAATTCTTACTGGGCATGGCAAGACAACATTTGAGTTGCCAGCTAGATCAGCAATGTGTCTATAGAGTGGGACCTTCTTATGGCCTGCTCCAGCCTTGCACACGGCTAGGGAGACACCCAAGATGGCATTGGCTCCAAGCTCAGCTGAAAATGATAAACAGAATATTTCAGATTAATATAAAGCAAGTTCGTAATTAGGATTTGCGCATGGGCAGATAAAGGTCATACGTTCCCAAATAGTAAAACCAGCGAGATTAATGCTGGTATCATGCTCATGAAAGTTATGTAATCAGTACTCTCTTATGCACCCACAGTACATTTATCTGATACACAGGTGGAAGTATTCTTCTCAAGAGGCAAACAAAAGGTATTCATGAAGCACCTCCATGACTTCGGCAGAGATTATTCTAAAATGCATGTTTCCATCGTGTAAAAGATCTGTGGATATTTGGGGGTCATGCGTTCCTAAGCTTTTTACGAACTGGCTTATTAGAGCTGTTTTTTTAGTAGTACCAATACTCACAAACAGCAAAATTAAAGACCCACAACTTAGAAATGACTTGAAGCCTTTTAGACTGCTTCCAGTCATGGTTCTGTAGAGAAATTTATGAGTTGGCGGAGGGTGTGTGAGACCTGCCTGTCATTAAAGATTTACATTCTGCAGGTGATTGATACAGCTGCTGCCAACTAAATTCTTGAAAGGTGCCCCTAATTCCCCAATTCAAACCTTAAATGATATATTCTTAAACTTGTATAATGAACCGGTTTACTAACATATTCAAATGTTATGCATACTGTTTAAAGAAGGGTTGTTCTTGACATCCCGTGAGCTAACCCAAGACTTACCCAACATAGCAACAAGTAATGTATAAAGACTGGATTCCAAGTATTGCAGTTTGTTCATGAATAACAGGTTAATGGAATATATTGTCACTAGCATCCATAAATTTGAATATAAGCTTCAAGTCATTGCATAACACTATAAAACTTCTTTCTAGTTTAATCAGACAATGGCACAATATATTCATCATGTATCATATATATTGAATCACTTACTTTTATTATCAGTTCCATCAAGATCTAGCATCAATCTGTCAATGTCACCCTGTTTTGTCACATCCACATTCTGAAAAAGGAGCAAAAAAGAAATCATCAAGCATAATGTATAAACACGATATAGGTTACACGGAAAATAGATTCACTCATTTTCAAAATTTGTTATCCTAATTTCCATTCATTTGCATTGCTATCTGTCTAATCTTACTTTGCAAACTTGTTAATCCCAATGTTCAATTTTAATTTGTATCCATATACGATAACATGACATAATCTATGTATGATATGGTATAGAATGATATAAAAATTAAAAAAAATAAAAAGGTATGTAGATGTGACTTACCTTTGCAATAAGTGCAGGACCAAGGATGTCATTGATGTTACTTACTGCCTTCTCAACACCTACAAAACAACAATGTAATTCATTGCAATATCATTAGTATATCAAGGAAATCATGATGAATGTGATTTAGAATAAACACAGGCAGCTTAAAGTATGATTAATATTTGATGTTGCAATGTGCAATGAAATTGTGTTGGTTTTTTTTTTTTTAAAGACCAGACCCATTTGAAAGAAAAACAAGAAATAAAATACAGAGATTGTCAATGATCCTTTTACAATTTGCCATTTAAATTGTTAGCATATATAATGAGCAGATAGGTAATAGCAGACAGGTAACAAAAAACACAAGTGGTTTGAAATATCAAAAAGGGTTCTGAAAAACTATAAAAACAAGCTTTGCTAAATTAGACAATTTACAAAACATGAAAGTTACTGCAAGGAAACTTCAATTTTGTAATACCAAATTTTTTTAAAAGGGGGCACAGCTCTTGTAAACAAAAATGCATTTCTCCACTTCTGTATGTCACTAGTGTAACTCAAGGTAACTAGGTAACTCAAGACTAGATATGAAGTGAAGATTGCTTGGAGATAAGGGTATTACAGGCCCACTAAAGACCAAGTTTACATCCTGCTGTTTTCAAGGAGTGAAGCAGGATATCCTTCATGAGGTGTGACTCTTCTATTCATGCAGCCTTTAGACTCTAGTTTAAGTTCAGTGTTTTCCTCTGAACATGAACCTGGATAAAATCTCACCTTTGCCCAGGAACCTTTTGGGGTCCTTGTCCCTCAGCTCCAGGGCCTCATAGATCCCGGTTGAAGCACCACTCGGTACAGCAGCACGGAAGGTACCTGGGATGAACAGTCATCAATACACACTTCAAATTCAATCGATTCTAGCACATTTATCGTGTCTGGAATAACTATAATACATGCTAAAAGTTTTTCTTCTAGAGATAGAGAATGTCAATTGAAACATTTAAAACATACTGTGTTCCAAGTTTTACTACGAAACTGTCAACTGATCTCAAAACTTGACATGTCAATATTATTCTTCTTTTAAACCAAGTAGCAGAGTAGGGGTGGTGTATTACCCTCAACTCTTTCAATAGAATTTTAAAAATGGAAATAAGTGTAATAACTTACCCAATTCGGTTGTGAGGTCAACCTCAACCGTAGGGTTTCCACGGCTGTCAAAGATCTCTCGGGCATGAACCTTTGTGACTGGCATGATTAACTTAGCACTGTTCAGGATTTAAAAAATAAGGACATGATCAATGCTTTATTTCTTTTAAAAGAGATAACTTTTACAATCTTCCTTTTGTCATCGCTGCCTATTTGTAATAGTTCCAGGATATCCCAAATTTGGGTACACTAATTACAACAAAAAAAGGATGAGGAACTTTAACTTTGGAGTTGTATTAGCTTCCTGATATCATCAGTACATAGTTACCCATGAGTAGGTCAGGTTTCCCTGATTAGTGATTACATTTTTTTTTCCCTATCTATTTTCTGATTGGGGAGTGGGAGACCTATACAAGTTGTATGGAAAAGAAATCCTCCACTCTTTCTTTGAGACGTGGTAGAATTTGACATACCTTCTCCCAGTAAGAATTAAGCTTGCAACTGATGCCAATCAGCAGTTCAGCACAATGAAGAAATTTCTAGTTCTACAATGGTATCCCTGTCAACACTAACAGTAGATTTTCATCTCTTGCTAAGTGTTTACCACATTGGAAGTGGTTTTAGTGAAATGGTAATAAGAAGAAGTTTTTATCCTCAGGTCAATATATCATAAATCTTTTAAGACTTTAAGATAAATGTTTATGACGGCTAGTGCTGTTTGATGCATACATTCAATCAAATCCAAAGGCAAAAGTACCTTTTCAAAATCAAACAATGTTAAGATTGAAAAACTGCATGCACATCCCTAGCAAGTCAAATCATGAATTAATTTATTCAAATTTTTTTCTATTAGACTGGCAAGTTGTACTGAAATGTTCGTTGATATATTATATGTGTGTACTGTGTACCTATGCTTAGTGTTTGTCAGTTAACGTGTGAATTAGTGCGTCACCTGTATTTTCATGGACGATCCTTATTACTGATCTTGGCTATGCAAAAAAAAAAGGATTTCGCGATGATGCTCCATGATGCATTCCGCGATGATGCTCCATGATGCATGTATCGATCACTTACGCAGCACAGAGACTTTCACATTTAATGATAAATCCTCGAGAAGACGGACAACTCGTAGAATTAGACGGAAAACTGGGGGTATTTGATTACGCACAATTCTTTTTTGCATTGCCAGCTCGCGTTATCAGTAACTCTACACCCATAGAGGGCCGAGGAAAAAAGATTGACAATCCTTTTTCTTTTTTTTAATGATGCAATTTGTCCGCGTTTGCGAGGATATCCTCGTTTATGCGGACGATCCTTATTCTCGGACCAGTGCCCCTACTGATCAAGATGAAAAAGTTGTTTTTAATCATTTTTAGTTTCATTTTCAGTAATTTTAGTCTTATTTACTTAGATTGTTCTGGAAGATTTTACTAATAATTAATCGTGGCCAGAATCTATAGAATAACACTTATTGTATCATAATAAAATTGTCACAAAATCGCACATCATTCCCCATGCATGCATGCTCACAAATGTAATACCTCTGCTCTGAGCTGAGCTGACTGAGCACGCTCAAAGCTCATGCACCTCGCCCCACGTCGCCCCCCGGATAATCACGACACCGCGCACGGAGTGCGGACCTTATAGTATACGACCCTGGATAATCAGCCGGTCAGCTCAACGAGTCGGCTGCTCGAGCGATTTTGCACGTACACACATCGCGAATGACATTTTTGCAAAATCATTACTGCGCAGTCGATAACAGCATCGTAAATTTAGAAATTTGTTAATGTATAAAAACATGAATAATAGCTCAACATCACGCTTGTCTTAAAAAAATACTTACAATTGCAAATTCCCGTGTAAAATAGAATTTTAAGTGCTCTCGGTCACGTCACCTCTGTCGATGTCTGTCTCAGCTCCGGTGGTGCTTAAATGGCAATGCATATGTAAATTTATTCAAAAGGTCAAAGGTGATGACTGTATTTTCCTGCATAAACGAGTTGTCTGCACTAATTAATCTATTTTATAAAACCTCGTTTGGTTCATGTAAATCAAATTTTAAAATATATTTTAGTAATTAATATATATATACCGTAGAAATTCATTACATGAAATCTTCAAAAGGTTATATAAATACTTTGGAGAAAATGATTTCACAGCCTGAGCCTAATCAACGTGGAACCGGCAGAATGAGATAGTACTATAACGAATCGTCTAAAATCAAACTTGGTCCATTCAATATTCGCATATTGTTTGCATTACAAAAAAAAAATCGGGACTACATTATGGATAGCTCGTTCTCGATGGCTTTTATATACGACAAAATAATATAGAATTCCTTCTAAACTATTACACCAAATATATCACTATGATCTACACCAAGGTGTTTGGTTTGGTTTGGTTTTAGTTTCCATATAAAAAACATATATACATACATAATTTTTATGAACATAACAAATAATGATAGAAACTTAAATTAACAAATAATTCAGATGGATCGCTATATATGGCTCTATTCTAATAGAGCTAGGTCAAGAAGAAAGAAAGGAAAGAGAGATGAAAAGAAGTATGCGCATGCGTGAGCATAACACAAAATAAAATATTGAATGAAAATTTATGCAGGGCCAGGGGGTTTAAATATCCAGTATATTGGACCAATCGGATTCAACGGAAGAAGAAAAAAACTTGCTCCATATGTTTTAACATTAAGAAAATTCGCTTCTATTGGACGGGCATACTATTACAGTATTACTCAATTACTTCATAATTTCAATAAGCAATGATTTTGTTTACCTATGTTCACTAACTTCACTACGTTAATATAGAAAATCAACATATTCATCATTTTGTCCTCTTCTTCCTCCTCCTTCTCCTAATTCTCCTCCTCCTATCTTCTTTTTCTTTCGCCTCCTTCTTAATATTTTTCTTCTTCTAGTTTCTCGAGTCTTCTCCTTCTTCTTTTTCTTCTTTTATCTTCTTATTCTTCTTGTACTTATTATCATTTCTATCATTATCAGATAAATGTTATTATTATTATTATCATCATCTTCTTTCTTATCTGTCTGAAAATATACAATACGAATTTAACTAACTAATTTTGTACATGTATGTCGGGAAACTCGGAAATAAGCCCTCGAGTTTTGATCTGATATTCTTTCATATTCTTGTGTGTTGGAGGCTTTGTGAATAAAAATCAATCAATCCATCAAGAAAGAAAGAAAGAAGAACTTATATGTTTGTTGTCTAGCTGCACCGATCGTTCTGTTTGAGTGTTCTTCTTCCTATTTTTTTTTTTTTTGTCTCCCCTCCCCCTTTTTTCATGCTTGAGTGCATATCTTTTGTGCCGGGCATTTTTTCTTCTTTCTTTCTTCTCCGAATTTTGTTTTTGAAGTTCATTCAAAGTCCTCACCACTCCCAGACGAGGGGTCGAAAACGCAAGCAGTGTATACCAACTGTTTTGGGACGATTGTGCAGGTTCTTCGTAATAAACCGTGAACTTGATTTTTATTCCTCAAACTTGGTTTCCGATCCCGACGCCGTGGTTGCGGGTATGTAACACAAATTATGTAGTAAGCTGTGAGATACAAATGTTTTTATTGTGAAGAAACTAAGTGTTTTGTTATTGATGAATGAATCAGATGGCATCTTAGCTATATTACCACGAAGGCCAGACCGAAGGAGAAGCGCGCCGAGTCATCACCGGGGAGCTATGCCTATGACCGACGCGTCCACATCTCTCGCCCAGTCGCTCCCGTGCCGTTGCAAGCGCTGCAGTGCTGTTGGTCGGGCCGAGCACTCCTTCGCTTTCGCTAGTACGAACAGTAGGGTCGCTGGTTCGAGAATAAGGATCGTCTTCATAAGCGCAGACCGATGCGCCCTCAAAAAATAAGAATCGTCCGAATTTTCGCAGACGTTACATAGACTAGAGTCTAGGCCTACTTTTGATTATCATTGGTGCATTGCTGCGAAAAATGGATTCTGCAATGATTTTATTGATGCATTTTCTATTCACTATTGACTTCGTACAGAGACTTTCACATTATAATAAGTGCGATAAATCCATGAGAAGAACCTAGATCTACAGACAACCCATAAAAGTAGACAGTGAACTAGACCTAGGTTTTACTAGTGCTATAGATCAGCGCGGAAACGCACGGTGCGTGCGCGCGCTTCCAATTGACTTTGTACATGCGGCCGAAAACTGGTACGCTATGCCGAAAACTGCCGAAAACTGACTCCGAAACAGTGAAAATTGAAAGGAATATTGTCATGGCAATTCGTGATTTTTTTCTGGGATTCTTGTTTTGTTTAAATAATAATAATATTTGCTTCATGATTTGAACAAAAAATGATAATAAATAGGAAGTAAAGGGTCCAAAAAATAGGATTTTGTCTTAAGTGGCCGAAAACCGGCTCCTTTACTCTAGTTCAACAAGAAAATTAATCGTCAAAGCATTTCAGAGATATTGCGATCTAAAAATTTGATGTCCGATAAAAAAAAAAGAAGGTCTTTAAAACAACGAGACCTTACTTCACACATGGGTGTACGTGTATACAGTTGATTTATACAAAAATGTGATCCATCAAAAATTAGGTAATGTCATAATTTGCAAGGCAAGATTTAATCAGTCGGTACCACACTTGTTTACAATTTTGAGGGTATCTGCTTTCAAAATGAAGATTTCCAGACCTTTAATTAGGCTGTATCGGTAAGTTAATAATTTTTCAAAATGTACTCAAATGACTGCAAAATTTGCCAATCTTTTGTCAATATTTTCACAATTTCACACCCAATTCAAAAGAAAATGTTGTCTCTGGGTAATTTCATGTTCCTCTTTCCATTGATGATAGCAGATTTTTGAAATCTTACCAATTGTTTGAGATTGTTTGTTAGCACACTATGGTCACACCACCATACCATTACCAGTCTACTCCAGCTCCGGTTACCAGTTGTACCAGTATCACCACCTGAAAATTGAAAATTGGAATGGGCCAAAAGGCAAAAAGCCAACCAAAATAAAAAGCCGATATTGTCATTCATGTTGATCCACACAGACACACTTTTCTCATTTTCTCCAAGTCACATCGCAAAATTTCTCAGTCAATGATATGTACATGTATTACTTGATGGGCAAATTCATACCAAAAAATATATTCACATAATGGCGCTATATTAGTTCAGAATCATATCCAGGCTTTGACCCATAACTCCAGCGTGGAGATACCCTACTGAAAGATACCAAAAATCAACTAAATCTTCATTGGGAGTACGAAAGGAACTTATGGAAGTATTTCCCTAATGACTGTTTGCTACAATCAGGCAAAAAAAAAAATCCCCTCTTTTTACTCATCTAGACCATATGGTTTGATTCATAAATTATGTAATGAAAGGAAATTGATGTAATTTTCCTTTGATTTCAAAATAATATTGAAAATCAATGCGAAACTTTGAAATAGAAAGATTTATTTCAGGTAATTTGTCTGGTTTTGTGAACTACTGCGTGCGATGAGAAAGGTAATCACACTCCGATGTATGTAGAAATAGTCTCAGTAGAAATTGTAGAACAATTGACGATATATAAAGTGGGTGAGGCTTTCGGTCTAAGCGTGACCATGATTTGCACAGCACTTCCCTAAACAACTAATGGGTTATCTCGCTTCTCCCTAGGCTAAAAGATTCTGATTGACTTTCAGACATACTAACTATTGAGTGCAATTCTCTTTCTTTGTTTCAGCTACATTGCAGCCATGAATGACATCGGTAAAGCAAGCGAGACCATCTCTCAACCAAGCTTTTTTAGCAGAGTTTTTACAAGTATATCACAGGTAATTTCATCATCAAATTATGAACTCTCATGTCTACAAATTCTCATTATTCCTGTAATTTGTTTCTAGCAATTCACCTTACAAATCAGTCAGTACACGTAATTCTCATGTCGTGACTCAGTTGGTCATTTGGAACAAAACGGGTACTTCATCATATCAATTTTAATGTTAGGCTTCTGGGAATAATTTTGATTTGTGAAGAAATTTTTGCTTGCACCCAGGAAATAAAGATTGTGTGCTTGATCATGTAATGAAAAACAAGGCAGAACAAATCTTGGAACCAGCAGGATTTGAACCCGCCATCTACTGCTTGCCAGGCAGCAACTCTAATACCAGTCCATCACTGGTCCATGGCACAGTCACAATGAACTGGAAACAAGCAGGGGGTGGGAATAACTGCTCTAAACATCAGTTACCAATCTTTATTGGTAACATTTCAGAAATCTTTGGGGTTTTGTACCTAAATATTGGGATATTCTAGTCTTGTTTCTCTCTGGTTTGTGCAAACATGTACATAGCTAAAATGCAAACACAAACAAGTTTTGTTTGTGAAGCAAATTTTCTTGAATGTCATTTATATCATCAAAGTAGGACAAAACGAGAAATCCACCCTGATATTAAGTTGATTTTAATAGGAGGAGATACAATTTGAAAAAACAGCTCAATGAAGGTTTGAGCAAAATGTAAAGTGATCAATGTTTGAAGTTGTAATTGATCGAACATAAATTTGCAAGTGTTTGACCCATCTTTCAAGCTCCCTGTCTATTTGCTCTGTACCAACAAATTCTAAAATTCATTTTAAGATGTTCTCTCTTTCTCTTTCTGTTTCTCTCTCTGTCTCTCTTTCTCTCTCTTTCTGTCTCTTTCTGTCTGTCTACGCCTGTCTGTCACTCTCTCCCTCTCTTTTTGCCTCTCTCTCTCTGACACAGAGGTATCAAGGTTTATTGGATAAGTCTGTTCCCTATGCGGTGCCCAGATGGGTCGGTTTCGTCGGCCTGTATATCATCTACCTGCTGAGAATATTCTTCATTCAGGTGAGGCACATTTCATGTATGACCCCACCCCTTTTGGGGGTCTTTTTTTAGTATTTTTAAGATCATTTATAAATGTCTTCTGGGA